ACACACACACACAGAGGGAGAGAGAGAGAGAGAGAGAACAAACAAAGCAACAAAGAGAGAGAGAGAGAACAAACAAAGCAACAAACAATGTAAATGTGTGTGTGTGTGTGTGTGTGTGTGTGTGTGTGTGTGTGTGTGTGGCACGTGCTACATGATTTGAAATTCAGGCATGCGAATTAGATAGTCTAACCAACTTCAATCAGGTTGTCGAATGTGCATCTGATGTATCCAATGTCCTTCTGGAACAGGTTCTTTTGAAGTCAGGAGATACAGAAAAGATCATTTTCTTTGCCAATGTTTCAAGGTCAGTACTATTCACGTGGCTCGCATAGTTTATACATGCTTCTTCTTCTCCTCCCCCTGTTCCTCCTTGCAGGAGGACCAGGAGGGAGACGGGAGCTGCGGGGTATTGGGGGGATGACTGAACAGGTGAAGGGGAGATATATATTGGGGTGACTGGGGGCCAAGACATAGGAGACTACGTATTAAAGTTATTGTACATGATGGACAAAGGAAACAAATTAAGGGGGTATTGTTGTACATGCTCGTACGGTCGCACCCATATTGATCTTGATTTCCTTCCGCTACCCCGATCTTTTCCAGGGTTGTTTTCTACTTTTAAGTTTTAACCTCATCCCTGTCCTAGTCAGGCTTGCCACATCCTCCGTGCATTCCACATCGGAGACAAACGCCCCCTCAGTATTTCTAAAAATATTTACCTTCCATATTGCCCGAAGTGTTGCGAGCCAATGCAGCTGAAACCACCAGTACTTGACCCAGCTATCGGCCGCGGCGCTTCCCTGTTAACACACTGCGCCTGTGGGGCTTCGGGTTACCGGACCACAATGGCTGGAAGCGCCAGCCAAAAACAAAATTGAAACGGCGCCGCGGCGGTTCGGCGAAACTTGGCGCGCAGGGGGTCGGCCGGCTCGGCATCGATAGCTGGGCCAAGTACTTGTGGTTTAAACAGGGTTGCTCACAAGCTGGGACCAAGTACGGTCTTGAACATCCCCCAGCAAGACCACCACTGCAAGCCACCACTTCATTGCGCATGTTTTAACAATTATTCTTACAGCGCCCCCTGCGCTCGGATTGGTGTTCATTCTGCCTTCCATAACATGCGATCTGTGATCTCATGGTGTGTTGCTGTTCCACTTAGCGCTTTCACCTTCACTTTGACATGGTTCCCATGTCACATCCCGCGCTATCATGATAAGTACCAACCCCTGAAACACCAGGAGTCCAATATGATGGGTGGAAATGGAAAGCTCTAAAGCAACTTAGGTACAAACAAGGAGTCAAAGCATGAATCTGCCACACGCTGTGCCTGTGATCGAGATTGTCTGCATTGTAATGAGAGGTGGTGAACATAGGGATCCAAATCAGATTAGACTATAAGCCTTATACCTATCTGTTCAAAATAATTGTTGAATGTTGCCCACTGTGCTTCTTCTTCCTCCTCCTCCTCCACCTCTTCTCCTTTTCCTCTCTCTCTCTCTCTCTCTCTCTCTCTCTCTCTCTCTCTCTCTCTCTC